TTTTCGTTGAAACTGTAGATTTGTCAAACTTGTATATTACCTAAATTTGTAATTTTAATTATTTGTCAAATTTATAGATATGTTTTAAATTTACAATGTAATTTATTTTCTCGACTGACATACCTGTATATATGTCAAATCTATGCCTCAAATTTCTTTGATTATTGTTTCCCAAATGTTTTAATTAAAAAACACTTTATACATAAATCTGTACTACTAGCTTGTATCAAGCAAATTAACCTGTAAAATTGAATAAAAATATGTATTGTTAAAAATTGAACATGTGTTCCATGTAAAAGTTTTGAAAGAAAAATAAACTTTAATTTAACAGTATTCTCTGGCTAAAGTGTTGTCACATCTATTAAAATTTGAAATAACGTAGCATATAGTTATTTTTTATACCGCATTATTTCTTTTATTGTAAAAGAAACTTTGATCCTTTTTACAACATGGTTTATTGCTGCTTGCCATTGTGTAAAAGCAGTGGACGTATGAAAGGTATTACTTTCCATGAGTTCCCCTCTGAAGCACAGTTGAAAACACAGCGGCTCTTAAGTATAAAAAGGGAGGGTGAGAAAAAAGGTAGTTATTGGATTCCTTCCGAAAGATCTAGAGTTTGTAGTCGACATTTTCTCCCCACAAATTACAGTGTTAGCACAACANAACGAGTATGAATCAAGAAAAGATTACTACTAACTTTTTACAAGATAACTGAGGAGTTGAATGTGTATGACAAATGATGCTAATCATTACATGTTATCTAACTTTAATTCTTACAATCATTCATTTAGTAATAGTAGCGATAATAATTAATAATAATTTTATTAATTTAAAGTTTTAAATTAAATATCATTTTTATTCAAGGCTTGGACTAGGAAGATGCTACCCATAACCTACTGAAGGCTATTTGGGAAACTCATTAGCCTACAAGATTGTAACTCGGCATGTATAATATGCAGGGCAATTTTATGACCCTTTTTTTGGACAAAAGTTATCTTATATGTTGTAAAACACAATATAAAAAAGGCAACAGTTAACTCAATTACCAATAAAGATTTTGTAATAGCATAAATCTAATTACTATTTTAATTTACCAATTCTATAAATTTAGGAACTTTGTATCAAAAGTTTTTGCATTATGCTTTGTTGGTAAAATATGTACAGATGAGAATTTGGTTAATAAAACTACAAATGAGCAATAACTGACATTTCTTGTTAAGTAATTAATTCTGAGCAGAAGAAATATCTAAAAAACGGAAGGAGATTTCAAATCAAACAAAATTGTAAGCTTTTTAAAAATCTTTTCTCTTCACTGTTTCATAAATGAGCTTTCTTGAGAATCTTGAGATCTTTGTATTTAAAACTTAAAATATGTTATATTGCTAACAAACATATTTATGAACAAAACTTAGATTTTTGAAAATGTCAGAAAAGAAATAAATGATGTCATGTGCAGTTGAAATTTCTAAAAAAGATTTGTAAAAAAAGTCAGTTTTCACTAATTTAAACTGAATATCATTTTAAGACTTTTGTTTTGAATGAACACTGCGATTCTCGTCGAATGAATGAATAACTTTGGAAAGTTTATGGTTTTTTGGTACCGTAAGCTTAATTCCAACAATAAGACAAAGTTTAATAGCAATATGTATGACGATAAGTGATGATTGAAAATTAACCAGATTAGTCTTCTTTAACAATTCTGTTCGGCTTTTTACAACCTTACCACCTACATAATTAATATAGTCCTTGTAGACAAGACTTTACAAAGATTAAGTATAAAAAAACGGGAGCACCAGATGACAGGTACGATATTGTTTCATAAAGTAACTTTCTTAAGGGAGTAATATTTCCTTTCATTTGTATTCTCCATAAACGAGTGGATTGCAAATGCATTTAGTACGTAATCCCGTTGCACATTTTCTCTCGTATAAATCAGAATAAACATATGCGAGCATTAATATATACGAGGAACTAAAAAGCTACCCGTTGCAACGCTCAGGCATTAGGGGTGTAGCAGCGCCCCTGCCGGCCACCGCGAGAAACCGTTTTGTCCCCGGCACATTTCGATAATGCGCCGGGGACAAAACGGGGATAGCCTTTCTTATCTCGTAAGCTACGGTAAACATCGACTTTTATTTCTTACCTGAAATGAAATATTTCTCATAAACTCTTGTATTGATATTCACTTTATCCGTATTGAAATTTTTCCGGTTAATTCTCGAGAGCCATGCAAATTTCTTTGGTGGTGAAAGCTCCTCTATGACAAATAATGCCGAGAATTTTAAAAAATGACGTAACTTTGTTCTTGAATGAACTAGCGTTACACCCGATTACACAATAATTCACCAATGATACTCGCGACGCTAGGAACTCCAGGTAAAGCACACGTAAACACAAATAGAACGTAAACAAACCGTAAAGATGGCGCCGGACAATTGCGCATGCTCATGACGTCACTCGGGATGTCGACTTGAAACTTCTCTATTGTACAAAAATATGTAAATCTCGGATAATTCCAAGTCGCCCTTTGATTTTCGAATTTACGATTATTTTTTTTTTTTGTTGTTAATACAAAATACAGTAACTTATTTATTGATAAAACTAAGTAGAAATCTGTATACCGTACCAGATCTTTCAAAGCTGATTCTAAAAACAATTCTATTTATTTGTATTCTATGGTTTAGAACAGTGGTTCTCAACCGGGGTCCATGTAACATTGCTGGGGGGCCACAGAAAAAAATACCGAATTGGGGGTTCACGGTGATATTTTAGTGGTCTATAGGGTAATTCTACTTCAGAACAATTGTTTTACTGAGAATTAAATTTCTACAGTATATATATTGTCAATTTTTATCACTCATTTTTTGCATAAGGGTTAAAATATAAATTATTTAAAATATTGAATACTTATACGACATATATATCTCATTGACAAAGGTCAAAGAGAGATGATAAAGTCGGGGTTTGTTAGGAGAATCTTATACCACCAGCGTCATGTCACTTGACAGTGACATTTCTTCTTTTTTTATTACTGAAAAATATTTTTTTTGTGCAATGTCCACAAAAAAATTAAGAGGAAAAGGGGTCCATGGGTAAAAAAAGGTGAGAACCACATAAACATTGATGTCTTATTACAAATGTAAAATATGACTTATTTCGGTTTCTTTTGCTTATAATAAATGCTTTTGGAGACATTATACGATGGATAGTCTGTATACACATTCATTAAAATATATATTTTAATGAATGTGTTAGGACCGAGAAGTTTGTCCGCTATTTAGAGGTACTGTACTGTACATGCCGACGGCCATATTGTATTTTAACCTAGTCATTATGAAGTGAATACGATGGATTACGAAAACATCAAATTTGCGTTAGGAATGTGAAAATATCAAAAAGTATACGTAGAATATATACAGTATATTATTTTATCAGCTGTAAAAACCACATTTTAATTGAATTCTAAATAGCAAAGATTGCACAGGATATTAGAGGTTGAGGCAGACGTTTTAAACGTGTAGGACGGACGTTCGGTGCCGCTTTCCCGTAAGCCTAGAAGTTTGATGATGGTGTTTGGAATGTCGAGCGTGATTCCACCGACTATCCAAACACCATTGTCAAACTTTTAGGCTTACGGGAAAGCGGCGCCGAACGTCCGACCTACACGTTTAAAACGTCTGCCTCAACCTCTCTATTAATTAAATGGAACATAAAAAGGGACTTGTCTGCTTTGTAGTTATCGAGGTGGTGTAATTTTTCGAAAATTTTTTGTTCCCAATAAATTTATTAAAATTACTTTAGCTGTTCAGATCATAAATTCGAGAAAACTTCCTACACTTTGAAGTGGTCGGCAAATCGCTTTCGTAACACGACCTTTGAACTTACAACAAATAAACGCCATTGTCTTAACCTTAAAACTGTTTCTTTTTCATTACTTCTGTACTGCGATTCTCGTCGAATGAATGAATAACTTTGGAAAGTTTATGGTTTTTTGGTACCGTAAGCTTAATTCCAACAATAAGACAAAGTTTAATAGCAATATGTATGACGATAAGTGATGATTGAAAATTAACCAGATTAGTCTTCTTTAACAATTCTGTTCGGCTTTTTACAACCTTACCACCTCCTATTCCTATTTTTAGCCAGTCTTTATTCGACTCCTACGGTCAAAATTCTTCCTCTGAAAGATTATTTGAACTGATTTAGTTTGTTTTAAAATATTTCGTACACAATTCTTTTAGAATATTGAAGGCGAGACTATGTTTTCGTAAGGTGGGTGACGGACGACGGCGTCCTTTAATTAGAGGTGAAAATATGTCTTATTTGAAGGGTCTGGGAATTGTAAAAATGTCCGTTAAGTAGGTGTCCGCTATTCGAGAGTATCCGTTAAAGTTTCATTGCATTTGTTTGACATTTTCAACATTGTTTCATCATTAGTAATGCACATTTCAATACGCTGCAAAATTGACAAACAATACACATTCATTTATGATTATATTCTTTAGATGATTATCACCACAATTTTTACTGAACAAACCCCTCTCCTTTAGCACACCCCTCAAGTAATTGAGGGGATGAAGGTCAGGAAACTATACTGAAAATGTCTTTATTAAAAACTAAATATACATTTGTTCGTGTAGTGAAAACTTTACCTGTACAGTATTTTATGAAATTGCTCTATCCATAAAACATATTAGTGCTTTGTAAAATATTAAAAAACTGGAAAAAATATCAAAAATTGTTTTGTTATTGAATGAATCAAAAATTATTAAAATGAAAAATAATAGATNGACGTATGAAAGGTATTACTTTCCATGAGTTCCCCTCTGAAGCACAGTTGAAAACACAGCGGCTCTTAAGTATAAAAAGGGAGGGTGAGAAAAAAGGTAGTTATTGGATTCCTTCCGAAAGATCTAGAGTTTGTAGTCGACATTTTCTCCCCACAAATTACAGTGTTAGCACAACATGAAAAAGGCTTCTACCTGGCTCTGTGCCATCAGTTTTTGAGGAGTATCCAGAAAGATTAAAAAGAAAGAAGCCTGAACCCAGAAAATTGCCTAAAAAGAGATGTACACAGTCTACAACTGGTTATTTAACTAGTGTGGAAAATAATATTGATCAGGAAGAGGATGGTGATGAAAAGGATGAAGATGCAAATGAAAACAGAACAGCCAGCATTGGTGTTCAAGTTCACATTCCTGTTTGCTCATTCCTAAGTAAAAGAACAAGTACTACACTGAGAAATTTAAAAAGGAAATGTTCAAGGCTTACAAAACAAATTTCAAAGCTCAAATCAACTGTAGAAGCACAAAAATGTTTATTAAAAGAAAGATTAAGGAAAACTCCTCTGGAAAAGAAATTTCAGGAAATTGTATCTGAAGCTACATTCAAGCATTCATTAAAAGCTAATTTTTTAATTGAACAAGTTAACAGTTATGGTAAGAAAAAGGGGCACTATGAAGAGACCACTGTAAAGATTTGTGCATTACTGCAAAGGAAATCCTCCAAGGCCTACAAGTATTTGAGACAAATTGGTATTTTGCATATCCCTCATCCAGCAACCTTGAAAAGATACATTGGTTATGCCAGTGGAGAAATTGGTGTTACTTCACTGATTAAATGTCGACTTGCAGCAGAATTCAAAGGATTAAAGACCGATTCTGAAAAGTTGGGGTCCCTTATCATTGACGAGATGGCTATAAAACCTAAATTAATTTATGATAGAAAATTGGATGTATTTTTAGGCCAACCAAATATAGACATGAATCTGATAGGACTTGAAGACAAATTAGCAAATAAATTGCTGTGCTTCCTTTTCCGTGGCCTAACAACACCTTATCGGATACCTGTAGCCTTTTACTTTACTTCAAACATAACTGCATTTGACCTTAAAAATTTAACTCTTAAGGTTATCACAGCAGTAGAAGAGGAAGGATTTATAGTCCAGCGTGTGGTTACTGACAACTATTCAGTTAACACTTTGATGTTCCAACTTTTGAGTGGTGATGAATGCGGGCCATGTATCAGCCATCCGAATGACAAAACCCGTAAACTCTTCCTGGCATTTGATCAGTGTCATGTAATAAAGAATGTGAGGTCACAATTTCTGACCAAGACCTTCAGTGTAAATGACAATGAAATATCAGCAAACCATCTCAAATGTTTGTATGACTACCAGAAGACATTACCAGGACTAATTAAACCTGTTCGATTCTTAACTAGGAAACATTTATTTCCAACCAGCTTTGAAAAAATGAACGTTTTACGAGCAGTTCAAATTTTTTCAATTGAATTGATTGCCGCCCTGGAAACAATGGTTGATATTTCTCCTGAGAACGTGGTTCATAAAGCAGGATTACAGGAAACGATTAACTTCATGAAGATCATGAGGAAGTGGTTTGAACTTCATGATATTTGTAATCAAACTCAGTACATCTATTCTAGAAATCAAAACAAGTGTCCTTTCTATTCCTTAGATGATGAAAGACTGCAGTGGCTCCAAAACGATTTTCTTCACTATATTGAACAAATTCAATCCTCACTGGAGAAAGAAAAAAGATTTAGTGATGAAACATATCACGCTCTGCGGTTCACAACCGTGTCCACTGTCCTCTGTGTGCGCCACCTTCTTCAGGAAGGTTTCCATTATGTCCTTTCCAGGAACTTTTCAAGTGATGACATAGAGGCACTATTCAGCCATGTACGCCAGTTAGGTGGCTACAATGACATGATGGATGTACGATCCAGTATATTTGGTATAGAAGCAACACTTAAAACAGGTTTGATTAAAGCTTCCATTAGTGCTAATGTGGAAGCAAGAGAACCACCACTGTCAACCACAACAGCTCTAATTTCATTGCCAGCAAAAGAAATTGCTTATAGCTCTTGCTCAGAAAACAACATTGCATTGCCTGACAAAGTAATGAAAATTCTGTCCAGGTTTTATAACCCACAAGGTTAGTACCATTCCTTTTCTTATTTTACCTTGTTTTAACTATAAACATTTGGAAGCTACTGTTTATTTTTTATCTTTTAATTACATGAAATCTGCTTGTGTAAATGACACATCTTTAGAACTAAGTGAAAAGTATTGTACACTTCAGTTTCCTACAGAAGTCTTCAATTTTATAGAATTTTATTTTTATTTTTTCCTTCAGGTGTTCAACCCACAATGAAAAATGCAGCAGTGGCTATGATTGCAGGATACATTGTGAAAGTGGCAGAGGAATCGACAACCTGCTTTGACTGTCTGCAAAAACTTTCAAGACCGAAAAGCTGTTCTCCAGTTTTGAGGCTAATTTTTCATCAAGACCGTGGTGGTTTAAAATACCCTAGCTTTGAACTAGTGAGAGTTTTAGACATTATTTCTGATTTTGTTTTTGAAGCACTGAAGAATGTATGTTTAAAACAGAAAGGTATAAGAAAAGATATTGTGAGAATATTAATTCCACATTTTCAAAATTTACTTTGCTGCAAGAATTGTGACTCATCAGACTTTGTTAGAGTTATTTTAGAGAAATATGTAAATCCTCTATTTGATAATTTTGGGAAAGCTATGAGCGAGAAACTCCAGCCAGTAAAGACATTACATAATAAGCCACTGAGCAGAAAGGTTATGCGAGTGTAGAAACTACCCAATTGTTTTATTGGCTTTAAAACTTTATAATGTGAGTAAAAAGTTTACACACTTATTAACTCAGACTGCATCTAATGAATATANCAGTGACATTTTCTTTCTTTTTTTATTACTGAAAAATATTTTTTTTGTGCAATGTCCACAAAAAAATTAAGAGGAAAAGGGGTCCATGGGTAAAAAAAGGTGAGAACCACATAAACATTGATGTCTTATTACAAATGTAAAATATGACTTATTTCGGTTTCTTTTGCTTATAATAAATGCTTTTGGAGACATTATACGATGGATAGTCTGTATACACATTCATTAAAATATATATTTTAATGAATGTGTTAGGACCGAGAAGTTTGTCCGCTATTTAGAGGTACTGTACTGTACATGCCGACGGCCATATTGTATTTTAACCTAGTCATTATGAAGTGAATACGATGGATTACGAAAACATCAAATTTGCGTTAGGAATGTGAAAATATCAAAAAGTATACGTAGAATATATACAGTATATTATTTTATCAGCTGTAAAAACCACATTTTAATTGAATTCTAAATAGCAAAGATTGCACAGGATATTAGAGGTTGAGGCAGACGTTTTAAACGTGTAGGACGGACGTTCGGTGCCGCTTTCCCGTAAGCCTAGAAGTTTGATGATGGTGTTTGGAATGTCGAGCGTGATTCCACCGACTATCNATTTTGTAATAGCATAAATCTAATTACTATTTTAATTTACCAATTCTATAAATTTAGGAACTTTGTATGAAAAGTTTTTGCATTATGCTTTGTTGGTAAAATATGTACAGATGAGAATTTGGTTAATAAAACTACAAATGAGCAATAACTGACATTTCTTGTTAAGTAATTAATTCTGAGCAGAAGAAATATCTAAAAAATGGAAGGAGATTTCAAATCAAACAAAATTGTAAGCTTTTTAAAAATCTTTTTTCTTCACTGTTTCATAAATGAGCTTTCTTGAGAATCTTGAGATCTTTGTATTTAAAACTTAAAATATGTTTATTGCTAACAAACATATTTATGAACAAAACTTAGATTTTTGAAAATGTCAGAAAACAAATAAATGATGTCATGTGCAGTTGAAATTTTAAAATAGATTTGTAAAAAAATTCAGTTTTCACTAATTTAAACTGAATATCATTTTAAGACTTTTGTTTTGAATGAACAATAATTATTCCATTCTGATACAAAAGAATTACTTTTTTGCACAATTTTTTCTTTGTATTCATTACTACAAGTTTTATTCTTCATAGATTCAAGTCAAAAAGCCTGATTTACTTACCATAAAAACACAACAGTCATGTATGAGTACTGGACTGTGAATTTATATAATTCAAAATTTTGGGGGGGGGGCGTATCTGGACAGCAGCGCTGTTGGTGACTTTTTGATAACACTTCGGAAAGTAACAAGGAACTTGTACAATTTTTTTTTCAACTTTTTTAATTAATAAGTGCTCTAAACTAATAAGAAATTGCTAGTTACAAGGTTTAATAACAACTAATAATTATGGAACGTTCTCCTGTTAAACGTGGTCGACTTCCAAGCAGCCGAATGAAAACCGAAAGCAAAAGAATGCAACAACACGCGACCAACACGAAACTGATAACTGATTATAACACAATAGTGGAAAAAAATATACAAGAATTTCCGACAAATTCAATTGGAACTAATATGGATACCATTCCACAACATCTACAAAATCTATCAGGTGAGTGCAGAGACTTTTATTCATCTTCGCCGTTAAATTCGAAAGACACTTTAACAGTAGATCTATGGAGCAAAATCTCGGAATTAATTAATACATCGAATGATAAACTATCTCTACAAATGACATCAATAAAAGAAGAATTGAACTTAATACACGAGACCATACGAGAAAACAAAATTCATTTCCAAAGAATGGAAGATCAAATAGATAATTTAAAACTTCAAAAAGATCTGATGCAATATAAAATGGATACTTTGGTAAACGACTATCACTGTAATAAAATAATATTATACAATTATCCCACTTCAAAAAACGTCTCTAAACCAGAAATTCTGAAATTTAT